GGATGCCAGACAGACACAGGACTAAGGAGGTGGAGTCAGGAGCAGCAAGGGCCAAGGGAGAGGAAGCCAGGGCTGAAGGCAAACAAAGACATTGTGATGGGGCCATGTTGGATGCCAGGAACAGAAGCAGAAGGAATCACAGGAGAAAGATTAAATTAATCAACAGGAGGATGAGGAAAACAAAAGGGAACCGGAAAAACAGCATATACTGTACTTCATCCTGATGAATAAACATTCACTAGCCTTACATTTCTAAAGATGTAGTATTCAAATTTGTATTTCAGTTACAAGTAAAAAATAACTAGTATTTGAAGATATACATAGATTACAAAACTAATTTAATTAACTATCATATGGTATTTCAGTATATCCTCTGTTCAACAACTGCAATGAAGTAATTGATGTCTAAGAGAATTTTTAAAATAATCTGATAATCCCTTTTATATTTGATGTCACCTACTAACACAGCATTCTTTCCAAGCCACTACTACCACTTTCTCATGACCATTAGTTAAAAGTTAAAATAAAAGTAGCAGAAAAGTTCCTTTAAATTGATTATACTAACTAAATAAAATTGGAAAATAAGCTTGTTGTTGTGTCTTGGGAGATAACTTCAGACATGATACTTTGGGAAAATAAGACTAGTATAGGCCATCAATCCAATTATGAATTCTCAATAACCACTTAGTCCAATAGAAGGTCACAGTGTGTCAAAACCCGCAATGGCACAAAATGGGCACAATGAGCAGACAACTACTGTAAACTTCTCATGGAAAATCACTATACACATTAACAATAACAGACTTCTGTTGTCTGATTATAAACATTCTACTGTATACCATATATGTCTACAAATATATATATACAGTATATAACATCTAGAAACATTTAAAGTACAATGTAACTGAAACAAAATGCATGAATTAAACACATTAGAGGCAATTATGATATTGTTGGAACCTCAGAAACACAGCTCGCCAGTAGAATGATGGAGATTAATGCAACATTACTGAATATACTGCACACCAATGTTACAGAGAGACAGAAACAGTAGAAGAGGGGGAGGTGTATGACTTTATATCAAAAACAGCATTTTAGCTAAGGAACTAAACCCAGAGGAATTAAAATTATCATAATTTATAAGTTTAAAATGTATATCAAAACATTATTAAGATATAATACTTAATAGGAGTATGTTATAAACCACCAAAATACAGATGTTAGTTTTAATTCAACACTCCATAATAAAATTAAGAATGTATGTACAAAAGAACAAGTACATATTTTCAGCCTTCCTCACATACTGTAGACTGGGTAAGACCTATAGAAATTGAGATCAGAAACAGAAATATGTGTAATCAAGCTCCTCACTCATTTAATAAAATAAGAAAGGTTAAAAATATCTAGACAAAACTTTAGAAGTTATCTACACATCTAGTGTATATATGTAATGTTTGCTTAGTAGTTATGGGTTAAAATCGTAGTAGATTTTAATCGTACTAGTAGTCGTAGTAGTACGACTACTACGTAGTAGTTTAATCATAGTAGTAGATTAAAATCTTCCAGCACATAATATTGAATTTTCTGATATTAAATTTTCACTTCAAACAACAGGGAAAATAGATAAAAACTTGCTAATGGAGACCCATACAACCAGAAATTTACTGTAAGTATACAGACTGCACTGGCCACAATTTAAGTGAATATAATCTGAAGCCTGACCTTTTAATGGCCTTTTAAACCTCAAGGACCTCAGTAAACAAATGTAGAAATGATACAGTATACACCATTATGACTTTATGCTATAGATACAAAAAAGTTTTTTTTAATGAATTATACATGCAGTCCAAAGAGGATAGTAAAACTAAAAATGATGACTAAAAAGATAAATGCCTTGTCATAATAAGAAAGTAAAAAAAAAAACATTTTTGGACACAAATGTTATAATTGTCTCAAATAATATTAAACATCACATATTAACAAAAATATTATCATGTGTACTACATTAAATGTCATGTGGGAAATGTTTGGTTTAAGAACACCATACTGAGAAATAAATATGTTCATTTAACATCTTCCCCTCTGAAAACACAGAAGGGACTGCTTCACATGTGAAATGTGTTTTAAGATGTAAAAGGGTCTTTTCTTCCCCCTGCAGCATAGACTGATATTAAGACAATAACTCTTTCAAACCTTCCTTTTATTGTTTACTTTGTTTTATTTATTATAAGTCAATATTTATACACTTATATACTTATAACATACAGTACCATATCATTTTACTTGCAAAATCTAAAAATTATGACATGGAAAAAGTATATTAACTTCCATAAGTTATCTTGTACCCCAAAATCTGAACCCCAAAAATCTACTTGTGGATTTTTTAATTTTAGACATTATATTAAATGTACATATTATGTTTAATCTAAATGTTGTCTCTGTTTTTTGGGGGATGTAACAGAAACTGCTGCATATCTGGACTGCAGGGGGATCAATTGAGACTCATCAGCAAACAAGAGGAAACATATCCAAAGATAGATGTATAAAAAGCTTAATTTATTTTCCTGGCCTCTCTTTATGGCTAAGCTTCTTTATTAAATAGACTCTCCTAGGAATTATAACAGCAAGAACAAATAAAAAGTCTGTTTTCATATTAAGATTGCCAAACCTCATTCTTATTTACGCTCTTCACTTTCAGAAAAAACGTTCCACCATTTAAAAAAAAATTGTGTCATTGCACAGAAGTCTGGGTGGATCTTAAATTCTAATCTCAGAATTCTGCTTCCCTATACTTTTTCAGTATAAAAATAGCAGTGACACCAAAAATTGTAAGGGCTATTTATGTGTTTACAAAACAAGAATTTTCTCTTTAAGACAGATTTAAAATAAAGGAGCTGCTCACCTAAGAATGGCTGTCATTTTTTATTACAGCTATGTTGAGAGTCAAAACAGAAAGCATGATAACACTTGTTAATGCCCTCTGTCATGCAGTATATATCGTATATGGTTTGACCTGTCAGCCCTGATCAGAAACTAGACACTTCTAGAGTAATTGAGTATTTGGTAAAAGCTGGCAGCATGATAGATGTAAAAGTCCCTAGACATCCATAAAATATTGTGTAAGCATACTGTACATAGGAAAGGAAAGAGACTGACAAGTGTAAATGGAAATGCTTATTGTAAAATGATTATATGTTTTGATGACCTTTGCCAGACTTGAGGGATTAATCAACTAATTTGCATGCTCAAGCAAGATTTGCTTGGATAACTCAACCAGGAACATGGAGTTATTAAATATGAGGAACAGTTCAAATTAATCTAGATAATAAAACAATTATGAAATGAAGGGTTTTATTTTTTTTAATTCAAAAGAGTGATTAGCTAAGCAGTCCAACACTCTTTTCTGGCTTAGAAGCAAAGGTTGGCTGCAGTGATGATACTAAGATGTTCAATCATTTTGTAGGAGAAAAAATATTTTCTATAATGAATACAGTTATTACTAAAGGTTTTACCCTTGAGTGATAATAAAGCTGTAAATACTTTTAATGGCTCTGTTCACTAGGGATGTACTGTACATAAAACTGTTTCACTGGTAACCTAGTCATAAATGAAATGAAAACCCTTAACACACTTAGACATCGGATATAATGCATTGTGGCTTCTACTGGATTTAAAATAAACAGCTGATGGTTAAGCACACTTTGGATTCCAGTTACATATGCAGCCTTTGAAAATGTGCGAGGTGCCTCGCGGCATACCACAAGTGGCGTGGCGTAACGAAAAGCAATGTGTATTACAGCTTTTATTTTTTCAAATAATCTGAGGCAGGACTGCACTACAGGTGGTGCAGTGAATCCAGCTGCAAGTGACTCACAAAAATCTTATTTTAATCCTAAAATAATTAAATCATTTAAAATCATTTAATCATAAAATCATTAAATGTTTATTAACCCATTAGTGCTTTTCTGTGCTAATCATTTAACTATAAATGTTTACCATATCTTTAATTACATGCAGTATACAGAATAATTAGTAATTGTGTAGAAATAGTAATTAGAAAACAGATCATTATTTATTAAAGATTTTGATTTTTAAAAATCTATTATGCAGAGTGACTTTAAACATATTTAAAAGCAAATGAGGTAAAATAAAAAAGAGGCTAGTAGTGACTTGAATGACTTTCATAGAATGGCTTACGATTGCGTACTGCAAGTTGTATTGGAACTGGTAAAAGTCTGCAGTATGTAAAGGGTTTTACTATAAGAAAATCACACTTTCGCCACAACAACGCTACAATAATTATGACAAAATATTTTTGATTTACAATGTGCTGTTTTAATGTGTATCTGTTGGGTTTCATTTCCTCTGTTAGCAATTATAACATCAGTAATTTTAATTGTTTGTTGTATATATAAGATACACTTCAAACACTTAGGTTTCAAGAATTTAACAATGAAAACAACAAAGTATGTAAATTTGTTTTCACCAAGACAAATAAGAAGACAAGTTCCTTTGACCCACCAAAATAAACTGGAAGCAGTAAGATAAAAATATACTCTATAAGAAAAAGACAGTTACAGATAATTCAAGACAGGCTTAATGCCAGTTAAGAATTGTTTTTTATACAATGAAAAACTATAAATTAAAGAAACAGAAAAAATATTGGAAAATAATATTGTGAAAAGAATTCATAAAAAAAAATATTGTAAGGCAAATAAACTTTTCATTTTTCTTTTTAAGGGTAGGAGGTCATAAAAATAGGTATTTTTAAAAGGTATTTTTGGTCTTAAAATGGTTGCCAATGCTTGGAGGAAAGGACAGAGTGTAAGTTTCAATTAGGTATCAGAAAAAAGTATTGTGGACCTACATGGCTCTTCTTGAAAACATCTGGGTCAGATTTGATTACTGCACAAATGCTATACAATGTTAATAATGTACAGTCCTTTTGTGATTTTTTGTCAAATCAATTATAACATACAGTAGATAGCATGCACACTCACGCTTGGTGACTTGCAGCACTTTGTTCATTTCGCCACTTCCTGATCCCGAACAACCATCTTCGTCATCACAGTCTCCACTGATCTGGCCTTCATGATTCCCACTGCCAGTCTCTATCAAGTCCAAGCTGCCATACTTTGGAATGGATTTCCCCTGCAACAACTAAGACAACATGCTTATTTGTTGAATACTGTATATAATATCAATATTATGTAATTACAGATGCAGCCATTCAAAATGCACGGTAAAACCCTGTACTACGTGAAATTATAACATTTAGAAAAGTTTCATCTATACAAATGCCACAGACTAGTCTCAATTGTTTTTTTCTGAATGTCACACTGAGTTCAATATTTAATTTACACCTAAATAAGAAAGTCAGATGTTAGCATAAACTATTAGTAATCAATTATATTACAATTCGCAATGTAATAATTTGTTGCACTTCTTCCACATCTTGTAAAAACTGTAATTTACAATAATGTGTTCAAATATACAGTATGTTGAATCTGACTATCAGAAAATATGTAAAATACAAAGTTATAAGTGAAAAAATAAAGGTAAAATGTAATTTAAAATTAAGACAGGATACACTTTTTTCTGTGTCTCTTCCTACTCTCTCTTACCCGCTTTGATTTGGACACAGAATGATTAAAAATGGGAGGAACATTATCATCTTGCACCAAAGGGAAGGAAAAAAGCCATCTACTGTAAAGCTTTCAGTGCTCTGTCTGTGTATATTCCAATCGCAGCGGGAGCAGGGTGTGTGGGGAAACGTTTAGGCTGCATTTGAATTGGGGCTCTGTTTTCTTCACACCTGAAACATTGTTTCTTCTGAAATCATTTTCTTCCCTCTTTAGATGATATTTTGCAGCCTACTGTATGCATGTTTACATAGCTCCCTATGTGAATTCTCGTTCTTGACTGAGAAAGCTTTAGAGAACTTTACAACCATTTTTATTTTCAACAAATTGTAAATATGATGTTTACATTGGCGTTTGTATTAATTTTTCACTTAAGCGTATGGAGGAGTGTCAGCTGTCAAGGAGAGCTCCCCCCCCCCCCCTTCCCCTCACAGACAGACTGATAAAGCAATTTGGAAGTGTTAACTATCCAACCTTTGGAAAGGGTTCAACTGCAGCAGCCACAAATTAAAAAAAAAAACTTTCACATCCTTGCGAAACAATCATGACATTCTCATCCAATCAAAGGTTTGATGTTTTTTTAAATTTTGAAATTGTGATCTTCACATGCAGGTGTGAAGTAGAGTTAACAGCTTCAGATTTAAAAGGTTATTAATAATATATTCCATGTCACATTAATATTGGAATATTCTTACAAGTGTAAGAATACACAATGTGTCTCCTCTATAACTCTTTAGTTTACAGAGAAATTCTGCCAGAGCCACACAGCATTGTCTAATAATACTCTTCTTGTGTCTAATTTCTAGGGAGTAACCCTGTTACAAGAAGGAACAGCGCATCAGTCCTTGACTATGGTTAAACAATACATATGATGTCTGGTGGAGTTTCAGCGTTCGCTTTTCTATAATCTGTACAGAACTGTGAAGTCTCATCAATGTTTGGTACCAATAAACAGGGGGGCTTCACAGACTTCCTTCTTTGAACTCAACTGCACTCCAGTAAATAATGTACAGTTTATCACTTTCTGCAATTCTTCTAATTTAGCAGGATTTGCGCGATAAGCACATTGTTTAATGGGGATGACATTACCCACGTCTATATCACTATATAACACAGGTTGGAGTCGGAGTGTCTGTTAATAAAACAGAGAGCCTTCCAATACAAATTAACTACTGCACGATTTTTTGTATCCGTTTCAGCTAAATGAGGGGAATTGAATCAGTCAGAATATATGAAAATATATTTTGGTCTTTTGAAATATATATTTTTCACATATTTGTTTTTACTCATTTGTATTCTTTATATGCAAGTATAAGAGAGTAAATTAAACCACAATATTATATAAGAAAAAAAGGATTAAGGTCATGTCATATATACTGTACTAAGCAATCTATAACTGCAACAAGTTCATAAGGGTATTTAATAGGAAAATATTGATCATTTTGTAGCATGGAAAACTAACTCTTTATTAAACAATCATTAGACATGTAAATTCATTATTCTGATAGTGATCAAAGGCTCATAGCCAGCTTTGGAAGCAATACAAACTGTACATGTGCAACACCTGCATTGCACCAGCTTGCAGATGCTGCCTTATTGGATTATGCTTTCTTCCTCTCATACAAGCTAGAGAAGCTTGTGTACATGCATGTGATCCCTAGATGCCAAACGTTGTTCCAATTCGTCTCACAAATGTACAAGTATGGTAAGTAGGGAACGGTAGGAGGATATGTATCTCGTCAAATTATGACAGGTACCCCATCTATAAAAACGTCACAGGAAGTCCTACCCCCTGGACCCAACAGCATTACACTACAGAAAAGAAGTTCCACGACTGTAGTTTTGTGCTTATAGCTTTTATTTGTTCCTCATTGCCCACGATTGCAGATTTGAATTCCTCTCTGTCTTCCATGATGGTAGGGTCTTTGGCCATAGTTGTAGGTCTGACGAGGTACTGTATATGGCCTGTATTAAACTTTTAGAGCTGGCTGACCAGGGTAGTTGAGTGGTTGAGGTAGGCTTTGGGACTACCCAAAATCACAGAAATCCTATACCTACAGGTGTGTTTCATATAGCTTATTACATTTTTGAATACGTAAGCCACAACAGGAACCTACAGAATAGTATTATTTGTGTAAGGATTAGGATTTTTCTCACATTATGAACAAACTGAAGCTTGCTCAGAGTTCCTTCTTAATTTTAAGATTTGTTGTAAAGCAGCATCGAAATAGAAAATTAAGGTAGATAATTTATAGTACAGCATTTCTTGGTACACAAAGGCTATGCTAGGTAATGAGTTTAGGGTCTTTGAATTGGTAACCTAGTATCACCTTTCTCTGGAGAAGAATGTAACATGAAGAGGGCCACAGAAGAAATTCTAGAACCTCCCAGTAAATATAATAAATTTAATACTGTGTGACTGACAATCCTGTCGTCAGCAGAAGTAAAGACTGGGCTAAATATTCCACATAAACATGGAAATTAATTTTTAGACAAATTAACCCAAAATCAACTGCAGTGGATTTCAAATAACTAAGGGAAAACTATTAGTTCAAATCTAAGTTTAGCATATTAAGTTAAGAAGACAATACCCTTCTAAGGTTGATGAACATCTTTCCAGACAGGAGTGATTTTCTTTTGAATTGTTTATAATTTGGATTTAGTTACTCATTTGAAAATCAAAGTAAGTTCACAAAATGCAATTAATTAAAACTGTTTATAGAAAAGGGAAAAGTCAATTTGCGTGTTATGTTTTATGAGATAATTATATTTTCTGCATTCCATCAGAATTCTATCCTCCTATTCAGAATTCTCCTATTTCCACTTGAGTAAATCTATTTCTCTCTAGTGAAAATCTGGTTCTTGTCAAACAAGCTGCATAAATATCAGCACATATACACTTTTATCTTTAACCCTACTAGATGTGAATGTGTATTTTCCCTTATCAATGTAATGACCATATTGTCCTCTGAATCACAATCTGAGTTTCCTTCCAGTTGCCCAATTCCTTCACTCATCCTGATTGACAGTTTGAGGTAGAATAAATATCTGTTGCAAATGTTTGACTATGTTTTCAGAGCTCCCTTTTGTCCTTTTTACATATATGGTTTGTAATTAAATAAATGGAAGTTTAGAAAGTATGACAGCAAACTCTTTCACTTGCTCACGTTCATATGTCTGAATCATTGTCTGAATCAGTAATCTGAATTGTTTCTTCATCCCATGTCTTCCTTTACAGTTACCCCTCTATTAAAAAAATGACAAAAATAAATAAAATTTAACCAAATTGAGATGCACCTTATACTTTATTATTATTACATATCAGTAGTAAGGTGATTTTTTTTTTCTTTTGTATCTATATGTACCTATATTACATCTATTGTCCTACTGACATTTATTACCGACCTCTGGGATTTAGCAGGTGAGGTTAGAAAAAAAATAATTTAGGCTGTACCGAGGGGGATCCCAGGTGTTGAATAGGCAAGCTGCATTTTTTTGCTAGGCCCAGTGAGGATAAAGTGCATTGATGAACAGGACTAACGTAGTCAAAGCTGTGGGAGAGGCATCTAGATGTTAAGTTGAGTTCTACATACTGCCTGTGCCTTACCATCGGCAGGTCAATCTGTGTCCCTGTGTCAGGTATACAGGTGTCACTTGCCAAGTGGTGTCATTGGCACAAGAGGGTCAGGTGAAAAATTTAGTGGTTATTATTTTGATATTAATAATAAAGATCTGGTGCTTGATGAAGACTGAATAATAATAATCCCTTACACTTATATAGCGCTTTACTGGACAATTTCTTTTATTAGGAATTTACAGATAATGGTGACGTCCCTCCACCACCACCAATGTGCAGCATCCTGGATGATGCGATAGCAGCCATAGAGCACCAGAATGCTCACTACACATCAGCTATCAGTGGGGAGGAGAACAGAGTAATGAAGCCAATTCAAAGATGGGGATTATTAAGAGGCCATGATTGGTAACGGCCATTGGGAAATATGGCCAGGACGTTGGGGTTACACCCTGACCCTTTGAGAGAAATGCCCTTGGATTTTTAATGACCACAGAGTCAGGACCTCGGTTTAAGTATTGAATACTCCATTGCTAGTGCTGACTTCCCTAAGAGAGGAGAGGGGAACAACATATAAATATTAGGCTCCCGGAGGGGTTAGAAACAACAGAAAAGACCTCTATAAATGAGAAAAACTAAAGCACCCCACTTACAGTGTTGGAATGTGTGAGGAATATAGTGAAATGTGTGCCAAAACATGTTACTAAGCTACTGGTGATTACATTTCTTACAAATGTTCAATCTAATCTGCAGTCCAACTAAATAAAGTAATCAAAATGGACAATAAAGCAAGAATCACATTTGATTTGTTTTCAGAAAGATGTACAGTATATACAATATTCTTAGATCATAGAATTGTAGTATGTTATACAGTACCTGGTTCCACCTATTAATTTGTGACCAGAATTCTATATACAAAATAAGTAAAAATAACTTCACAATTG